CCCACAATATATTTGGGGGTTGAAATGGACCAAAACTAAAAATGTTCCTGATATTGCATCCGTTAGAAAGGTCACAAATAGAAACCAAAGGCCACGAAATCTAGCATAAAGTTAGAGTTTAGGACAGCGGGTACAATGGACCACTTTGAGTGAAAAAAACAGAGTTACTTACAGGCGATATCCGAAGTACACAAAATGCGAACTTCTGGCTTTTTTATGCAGATTTCGTTGACGAAAATATCCAAATATCGTAGACAAGCAAATCATATAGATGAGTCTAAATTTGGAATACAGAGAGGACCCTCACTTTTGGAGATGATCGCAAAATATTTAAGGGTTCAAATAAACCAAAAATAGAAAAAAATCCTGATGAAACAATTGAAGCCAATAAACACGCTTGAGGAGAGAGTTAAGGACAGGGAAGACGTCTACAACAACTAACAGCACGATGAAGTGCTAGGCAAATATTCCTGGTCAAAATACTTAGGGTTATATGTGGCAGTGCTTCGTGACATAATTTCAAAAGCGAAATCTTCCAAAATGGATTTGGACATAAGGGGGCTTATATATATATATATTGTAGTGTTGTAGGGTATCACATGGTCGGCCCCGCACGGCTATAGCCTTTGCTTACTTGTTTTTAATTTTTATTGATTGAAAATTCTGGAAAATTTTCTCCAAAATGCTTCTATACGCTTGTAAACATTATAATGAAATGTCATTGGAATAATTTTAACAGCTGTCGGAAAATGGTTTAGAAATGACAGCAGTCTGAAGTTGGTTGCAGTTTTTTCACCTCATCCTGTGTATGTTTTAAAACCTTGTTTAAGGTTTTAGTTTTTTTCCCTGACTCATATTGTCAACATCTCATCCAATATCGAATACACTTTGTATTACCTACATTTTTGCAGTGAATTGCCTTCCGGAATCATGTCTGGTTCACAGCACTGAATATTGATCCGAAATGCCAGAAACGTCGATTAATTGGCAATCCTTGTTATATTATGTCTACTTTACTACCTCTTTTGGGGATCCTCGTTTTTTATTTTAAATATTAGTTGTACTAAATTGACGCATATTTTTTAAATACTGCAAAAAACTTCAAAACTAATAAAATTCGAGAAAGAAAAATGGAAGATCCAAAAAAAATATCAACGGCAAAACACCGTGTAGGGCATCTTAAACATTTGTTTTTTAAATGAAAAAAAAAAATAATGCGCTTAATACCTTTCACAAAAAAATACTCAAAGGAAAAAGCAAAAACAAATTAAGAAAAAAATGAATAAATAAAAAAAGACATATTTGTTTGCATTCTTTTTTTTTTTTTGAAATTATGCAAAAGAGCGTTAAGTTTTAAATAGTAAATAAAACGAGTGGAAAAAATAAGGTGCGTATGCTGACCTGATTTTACTTTCGTTTGACTTGGATTTTTTTTTATTTATTTAATTCGTGACGTTGGTCCCGTTGTAAGAAAAATAAAAACAACAACGAGACGATATAAAATGAAATGATAATAAACAGCAGCGCACCAACACACTGCTCTTTACTCTCACTAGCCGGACAAGTTTTTTTTTGGTGTTGACGAATTCGTTTTGGTCTTGTGATGATGATGATGCTCTCTATAGCTTCTTAACGAAATATAAAAATAAAATTATTTCTTTATGGAGACTTAGAGGTGAGCTATTTTGTTGAAGGAGGAACAAAGTGGAAAAATTATAAAGTTTTCAAGTCAAAAAAAAAAAAAAAAAAAAAAAAATGGAAATTATTGAAATATTAACATTTAATACAATTCAAAGAAAAAAAATCCATTTTTCTTTGAAACTTTGAATTTTTTCTCAAACTCCTTTTTTTCAATGAAGTTTTTTGAAACACATCCATTTTCCAAATCTCTATCCATGTCCTTTGGAAGTTTTTCTGTATCAAAAATTTGCCAAACGTTATGATAAACTAATTGTATCGACAATCTGTGTAGATGTAACTTGATGCAATAAAATATTTATAGCTTTCAAAGAGAAATATTGTCTGAAATGTCGGGGCAATGCAACAAAGAATGTCATTTTAACACTTTCTCTGATTTATATTTTGTGTCGATTTTTAGGCCGCTGATATTAGTTGTGGACTATTAAATGTATATGGACTGAATACGTAATATTATAAGGTAATACATTGCATTAACTTGTCTTGAAAATAGATTATAGATATATTTTTCGAATTTGTTATAAAATCTGTCCTATAAAATCAGGTGCTAGCAAAACGTAAACAAAGAGTTCAAAATGACCTGGTAAGGTTGTGCATTCGAAGCTTTTAATTATTGTAAGACAGCTACATCATCCGAAAACCAGCGCTGCATAGTGGTCATCCCTAAAGGGGAAAAAGAGTAAGGAAAGGTCAAAAGTCGGGAGGGACCGACTATACAATACCCTACACCGCAATGCGTATTTAGTAGAGTTCCCGTAACAAAAAACATTATTTTGGGAATTTATGTAAAGCAAATTATGGTAACTATGAATCAAATAACATTGCTGTATAGCGCAAGTTATGAAAAAGATAATGATTATATTAAAAAAATATTATTGGAGCAATAGGTATACCGGACGGAGTTCTAACAAATGGTAAAATTTCGTTGAATATGAAAAAATCTACTCTATTTGGGCTGATATTACATATATGGTGGACAATAACCGTAAAATCGGATATATCGAAGCTATACAACAATCTGAACCGATCTCGATAAAATAAGGCAGAGGTATTTTTGAGCAGTATTTTTGAGTCTGATACCCGGTATCAATTATCATTGTTGATGGGTGTATATTACGCATGTGAGGGAATTTAACACTACATCGGATGCAACATATATGCGGGAGCTATAGCTATATCTGAACCGATCTCCATCAAAATTTGAAGTACTTGCTTCTAGGCTGGATTCCATTGGAAGTGCCAAAATGCAGTCCATTTAGGCTGATATTGGTAATTTGGTGTACAAAAAACCTGAAATCGGATAAAAATATATATGGGAGCTATATCTATTTCTGAACGATTTTAGACCCTAGGTCTCTTTGGACCAAATCTGTTTCAGGACATTTGGATCTCCGTCTGTCTGGTGCAAGAGTTATTATTTCGAAACGAGTGGTTCAAAGTTGGTATATCATAATATTATTATGGAACTTAGATCAAGTTTGGAGAGGGGACAATCGATCCACTCCTTCTGATACCACACCCACAAAAAGTCGAAATTTTCAAAAAAAAAAAGTATTCTACTGCACAGTAAGAGAAAGTATGATCCCATTTTATTCCAACTTTGCAAATTCTAATATTTACATCAGTGATACGTCAGATTCGAAAATGGACAATATCGGTCCACTCCATCAAGAACTTCCCCCGAATAATTATAACTCTTATAAAATATGATGTAAGAGGCCGATTGTCTTCAAATTACACCTATCACAACAGTTTTATTAACCCAAGGTCTGATGTGAAGATGGAATATATTGGTCCACCCATTGGACATCTCCCACAAAAGAGTCAAAATTTTCAATATCCATGAAGCTCATAAAACGCAAAATTAACATCCGATTCCATCCACACTTGGCACATCTTAATAATTCTATCAGCACAAGATCTGTTAAAAAGATTGTAGAGATCGAACCATTTCTTCTCGTACCTCCCCCATAAAGGGTACAAATTTTGAATAACCAAACCGATTAGAAAATCCGAAGTAACCATCCGGTTCTCTTCATATATCATACATCCCATTATTTCTACTAACACAAGATCCTCTGTTATGGGTTATATCGGTCCACTCTCTCTGGTACCTCCCCCACAAAGGGTTAAAATTTTGAATACCCATGAAGCCAATTAAACGTGAAATTGACATCCGATTCCATTCAAACTTGTCACATCTCAATATTTCCATCAACAGAAAATCTGTTACAAAGATGGTAGAGATCGGACCATTTCTTTTGGTACTTTTATGAAATTACGATTTCACGTAAAATTGGATATAAATGTTCTTTTTGAAAAATTGAATGCTTCGGCCGACTATATCTGTCACCTCATGCACATTACAACATTTTCTAAAAATGATCTCGTATATCATATAAAGTGAAGGAAGTAATCAATATAGTCCAAACCTGGCACTTCGCAATATTTATATCACATTTATTTGGGTCTGTTGCGAAATGGACAGTATTTGCCCATTTCTTCCGAACCTACTCCATAGAGGGTCAACAATATAAATAATCATAACAGAAGTCAAAATATATTTAAATATTTGAACATTGGCTGAGGCTATACATCTTTCGGCAAAACCGACTTATACTTTTTACCTTTTTTTAAATTATCATTTATATATGGAAATTCAAAAAAAAAATGAAACCTGGACAGTCCTTATTCTCATTTCATTGACTGCGATACAGAAAAATGTGCATCTTTGTTTTTTTGTTTTGTTTTTGTTATTGTTTTTGTTTTATATCAACATTGTTGTAATACTGAGCACATGGTCTTAAAATTTCTCATGGCTGCAATACGCTACGATTTTGTTTTGCTCAGCTCGCGACTGTTTGAGAAACTTGGCCAAATAGAGCTTTTTGTTTCATTGACGTTTTTCTCGCATGGAAGTTTTCAATTTCGTTGCTGTTGGCCTGGAAAGAGTTGTTGTTGGTAGTCGGAGTAATTACTTCTGGGTTTCCTGCAAAAACAAAGGTCTGCATATACCGGTTGGTTGGTTGAATGGCTGGCTGGTTGCCTGAGCGCTATTACAACCGACTTTATCTAGAAAAAAATAAAACACAAAAAACAATAACAACAAAGAGCTAGAGACTGGCTGAATAATTGGGCTGCTGTAGCTGCATTTTACTTTGGCTAGGCTGGCTGGCTGACTACCTGTTTGGTTTCGTTTGAGAGTCATTCCAACCATTGACAGAGTTTGTTAAAAACAACCAGCAGACACTCTTGGCTTTACAGATTTAAATTTGTACTGAGCCAGCGAACAACGTTCAAGTAATAATAACAATAATCGATTGAAGAACGCTTTTTCTCGTCGTAGTTGTTGTTGTTAGTATTTTTTTTTGTCTGCATTTTGGATAATATTCGAAATCCAACCGCGAGCCCTCTTCACCAATCCACCCCTCTGTTAACACATTTTCTTTTTCAATCGTTCAATCGGCCGATGGATGGATGAATCGATTGTCTGACCGCTTTGAATAAAACAAAAAGTTTCGTAAGCAGTTGCCCCCTCCGGCGAAGATTTTTTGGAACGTGTCCGTCTGCGTGTATGTGGCGTGCCGCTTCTACATATACGGTTAGGTGCTACGATTAGGTGGTGTAGATGGAGATATCGCGTTACGTGTACGTCTGTTTCTTCGAAAACAAAAAAACCAACGACGAACGAAAACGAAATTGAAATCTAACAAAACTTGTTGAACAGAAATACCAGGCACAGCGCAGCTGAGGCAGAGACAGAGGCAGCAGGAGTAGTCGCTCGCCGTCGCAGCCGTTGTTGGACAACATCTTCGACGCTGACGCCTTTAACACCATCACCAGCACCACCACAACCACCGCCAAGCAAACACTGGCCTGTTGCTGCCTTCAACGCCAGCGTTGAATTGCTGCTCATATCAGACGCTCGCTTGTTGTGTTGTCATCAACTTTGCACTTTTGCGCTCGCTTAACTTTCGTTAAGCTTACAGATTGTTTTAGCGCTTGCTGCAGTAAGCACGCGTGCGCGGTATATTTCCTTAAACAAAAATTAAGCCTTAACAAAGGAACAGTGGAGAAACGTTTTTTTTGTTATTTTTTTGGTCTGACAGCAGCAGAAAGCCTTAACATTTTTTTCCATTTCATTTCGAAGACAGCCAATAACGCGTAACGAAATCGAATTCAAATAACTCGCTGGCAGTGTTCGTTGAAACGTGTAGTTTTGTGAGTGTGCGTGCGTGTGTGTGCCTTGTGTCCTTGCGAAACATTTTTTTTTCAATTCTGGTCACCAATTATCCTGTCCATGTATAAGCAACAACAACAACGTTATGCTAAACGGCAAAAGCAACAAAGATAACAAATTATTAATCGGTTATTATCTTTTTGGCAAAACGAATTTCTTCTATCTCTAACGAAAGAGAAGAAATCGAAATAGAAGAAGGAGAAGGAGAAAACAAAAAAGAAATAACAAAAAGAAGAAAAACCAAAAAAAAAATTTCCCAACCACTTTTCCTCAACTGCAACTCGCCACACTAACCAAAGTGTTTCAAACAGAAAAAAAGAAGAAAAAAAAAGAAAGAAAAAAAAAATTACTCGAAAATACAAACAAGTGTTTCCTGTTTTGAAAAATTTATTATAGCAAAGTTTTAGTGCCAAAATCAAATAAAAAACCGTTTATACAAAAACAAAACGACTACATATTAAACAAACAAACAAAAAAAAAACATATAATTATTCAAATAACAAAATCGACTATTTGAAAAAGAAAACGAAACAAACCAGTCAAATTTTCTATTTTATTATTTAATTTATTCAACCACCACCCCCTCTCAACCCAGTCATATCCTTGCTAAGGATTAAGAATATACAAAACGAAGATGGAGAAACAGAGCTTTTTAATTGGATTAATATTATGGTGAGTGAAAATATATTTTACAGCATTAAATATAATGATTAAAAAATAGGAAAAATATTTTTTTAATTAAAAAAAATGTCAACCTGTTTTAGAAATAAAATAAAAAATATAAAATTTAAAGCAAAATTAAAATGCCCATATTATTAAAAATATATGCAATAGTTTAAAAATATTAAAATAATATGAAATTATATTATTATAAATAAATATATAAAAATCAATTTTTTTGTATTTAATATATTTTAATTAAATTCAAAGGCAAATATTCTGATACTAAGTGGAACTTAAATATAGAAAATTTTATCTGAAAATATTCAAAATAATATTGCAGAAATATAGAGAAATATATTATATTATACTCTGTAGAGCAGTTTTTATAGAAATAAACAAATTATGAAGTTGAATATTTACATGTACGACATATTTTTATACCCTTCACCATAGTATGGAGGGTATATTAAGTTTGTCATTTCGTTTGTAGCACCTCGAAATATAAATTTTTGAATCCACAAAGTATATATATTCTTGGTCAGCATAAAATTCTATGTCGATTTAGCGATGTCCGTCCGCCTATCCGTCTGTCCATCCCCCATATAACGGTACCTCCCAATATTCGGTGATTTGATAATTTTAGCTACATTTTTCACCGGAATTGTTTCGAATTTGGTATTTGAAGTTCGTAATGGATGCTACAGCCTATGACAGGAGATTGTCTGTACAGGTCCACGTTTTGGTATAGCCCCCATATAACGGTACCTCCCGATATTCGGAGATTTGATAATTTTAGCGACATTATTCATTCGGAATTGTTTCAAATTTGGTATTTGAAGTTCGTAATGGATACTACAGCCTATGACAGAAAATTGTCTGTGCAGGTCCACGTCTTCGTATAGCCCTCATACAACGGTACCTCCTGATATTCGGTACTTTGTTGACTTTAGCTACATTATTCACCGATTATTTTTTTAAGTTTCGCATTTAAATATTGTAAAGGCTTATGACAAAAGTACCTATGCAGGTCCATGACGTCGTATAGACCCTAATATAACTGCTACATTCGGTATTTTTAAGATTTTAACAGAATTTTTAATGGATTTTATTGTTTTTGAGAATAGCCAAATTCATTCCAAATGGTGGAGGGTATTCAAAGTTCGGCCCGGCCGAACTTACAGTTATTTTACTTCTTATACCCTCAGCCATATGGCTACAGAGGGTATATATCATTTGATATGGCCAAAACGTGCCTCATCGAAATAAGGGTTTTAGACACCAGGTCTCCTTGGACCAAATCCGTTTCAGGTCTTTTGGAATCGATGTCCGTCCGTCTGTCTGTCTGGGTGGCCGCTGCGCACGATAACTCTCGAAGGGAGTATCCGATTTGATCCAAACTTGGTACATCGTAATATTAGTTGTCAAGCTTAGATCGAGTTCGGAGATGGGCAATATCGGTCCACTCTTTCAGGTACCTCCCACACAAAATGTCAAAATTTTCTTATAAAAAAAAATTTTTTTAGACAGAAAGAGAAAGGATAATCCGATTTTGCTCCAACTTTGCGAATTCTAATATTTTCTACGTTAGGTGCGAAAATGAATAATATCGATCCACTCCATCAAGTACCCTCCCCACAAATGTCAAAATTTTGAATAATTACAACTCTTATAAAATTTAATGTAAGAGTCCGACTGTCTTCAGATTTCACACATCCCAATAATTTTATTAACTCAAGGTCTGGTACCTCCAAAAAAATAAATAAATAAAAAAATAAAAATAAAAACATTATATTTTCTTCACAGAAAGGGAAGCGATAATCCGATTATGCTCTTACCTTGCAAATCCTAATATTTGCGTCAGTTCTAGGTTAGGTGCAAAAAATGGATAATATCGGTCCACTCCATCAAGTACCTCCCCCACAAAGGGTAAACATTTTGAATAATTATAACTGTATGTAAGAATCCGATTGTCTTAAAATGTCATACATCCCAATATATTTATAAACTTAAGATCTGGTGTTAAGATGGAATACATCGGTCCGCTACTTCTGGTACCTCCCCCACAAAAGGTCGAAATTTTGAATATCCATTAAGTTCATAAAACGCGAAATTACCATCCGATTCCATTTAGACTTGGCACATCTGAATATTTCCATCGACGCACAACAAAGGGTGAAAGTTTTGAATAATAAAAACGATCATAAAATCCGAAAAAAAGTATCCAGTTCTTTTCAATTTAGACATACCACAATATTTTTATTAGCCCAAGGTCTGGTGTGAATATGGTATATATCGGTCTACTCCTTCTGGTACCTCCCCCACAGAGGGTCGAAATTTTTAATATCCATGAAGATAATCAAACGCGAAATGAATATCCAATTCCATGAGGGTATATATCTGTCGGCTAAAGCGAGAGATATTTTTTAACTGGTTTTTTATATCATTTTCTAAAATTAAATTCTTTTTACATTTAACAATTTTAGCGTTATCCCTTTAAAAAACATCATTGTACCAAATCTCTAGCTTTTAGTACTTTTCGTACACTTTAAGTCCGAATTTCCTAAAAACACTTTGGTACATATGTCCAACACTTAACCTCATTCCAGATTTGCAGAAGTTAAGTGTCAGTGGAATTTGTATCTCATTTTGCATTATGTAATGTTTAAAGATTATTTAAGGCAAATGTTGACACCGCCTCAAATGGTCTATCCGCTTAGTCCAATTTAGGCATACCGTTCCCAAAATTTCAGCCAGTATATCACAAAAATTTTTTTATGTTGTTTTTCAATGCATTCTTTGAAGTGGGCTCGTCGTTATAGACATGAGCTTTAACAAAGCCCTACAAAAAATAGTCTGACGATTTAGTTGGAATTATGAATCGACCTGAAGTGTTTCGTAACGGATTTCACCCAAAGAGATACAATGCCTAACAACGTTATTTTAATATACCTGTGGATCATTGGCACGGTTTTTGGGTCTCAGGCGAAGAAAGAAATCTAACTCAAATACATTTTCAGACAGTGCATGGACTTGATATTTTTTCAATAGATAATTTGAGATCATAAATTTCACAAAATTAACTACTGTGTTGCATAATATTATTTTGCTCAATTTTTTAAAATATTGTAGATGTATATTAAATACCTCATCATTTTAGAAGTTATACAAGTGTCTACTACTTAGAACTGATCTATCTACCATTATAAACAAAGAACCCAGTACAAAAATGTTATTCAGTTAAAAAGCATCGACTTTTATCTAAACATTGTTTTCGTTTCCGATTGCCATTATCGAAAATAAAAACGTTATGCAAAATATTAATATGATTCTTATATAAATATTTATATGCATATTTTAAAGTCATCGGAAGTTTATATGATCATATTTTAAACTGGTTCTAACCAGAATTTTCTTTAATAAATATTTCTTATATTCTATAGTTCGACGTTTGTGTCCTAAGTCTTTTGTTTTGTATGAAACTTTTACAAATGAATAGTTTATGAAATATACGAATCCTGGGGCAAAATAGGACATAAAATTAACTAGTTGCCAGAATTATATTTTGAAGATGTGTGTGTCTTAAGTCTTTTGTTTGAAATTCTATTCGAATAATAAAAGCAATTCTCATGAAAGACAAAATCATGCGAGAGTAGTTAAGCAGAGGGGAAAGTAGGACATAAGGAACTATAAGATATGTATATTGCCCCTTTCTGACGACTCCAAAGAAGTTCCCGCTGTGGAAGGAAAAATTAATTATATTATTGAAAGACTTACTTATGACTTTCTATCTTTATACCCTTCAGCATATATGGTATGGAGGGTATATTAAGTTCGTCATTACGTTTGTAACTCATCGAAATAATGATTTTAGACCTAACAAAGAATATATACTCTTGTTCAGCGTAAAATTCTAAGACGATTTAGCCCTGTCCGTCCGTGTGTTATAATCGCGTTAGAGTCAGAACGAATTAAAATAGGAAGCTAACATTTTGCATAGATCAGTCTTTTTTCTGCAGGCAGGTCAAGCTCGAAGATGGGCTATATCGGCCAACGATATCGTGTAGCCCCCGTATAACGGTACCACGATATTCGGTATTTTTATGATTTTAGACATATTATTCACCAGAATTGTTTCATGGGAACCCTAATCCTAATGGGTACTACAGCCAATGACAAGCAATGTATGCAGGTCCAGGTCTTCGTATACCTACCTACGTCCCTATACTCGTTTTTTATGATTTCAGCGACATTACTCACCGGAATTGTTTTAAATGTTGTATTTGAAGTTCGTAATGGGTACTACAGTCTATGACAGAAAATTGCCTATACAGATCCACATCTTCGTATAGCCCCCATACATCGGTACCTCCCTATACTAGTTTTTTACGATTTTAGCGACATTATTCACCGGAATTGTTTTAAATTTTGTATTTGAAGTTCTTAATGGGTACTATAGACTATGACAGCAAATTATCCATGCCCATGTCCAGGTCTTCGTATAGCCCCTATACATCGGTACCTCGCTATATTCGGTTTTTGATGGTTTTAGCGAAAAAATTCAGAGGAATTATTTCAAATTTCGTATTAAAAGTTCGCAATGGTTACTACGGTCTACGACAGAAAATTGTCTATGCAGATTCACGTCTTCGTATAGCCCCCATGTATCGGTACCTCCCTATATTTGGTTTTTTGTTATGATTTTAGCGACCGAAATTATTTCAAATTTCGTATTTGAAGTTGGTAATGGGTACTACAGTCAATGATTGAAAATTGTCTACGCAGGTCCAGGTTTTCGTATAGCCCTCATATAACGATACCTCTCGATATTCGGTATTTTGATGATTTTAGCGAAAATTTTACCAGAATTGTTTAAAATTTTGTATTTGAAGTTCTTAATGGGTACTATAGACTATGACAGCAAATTATCCATGCCCATGTCCAGGTCTTCGTATAGCCCCTATACATCGGTACCTCGCTATATTCGGTTTTTGATGGTTTTAGCGAAAAAA